GGGCGACATTAAATCTTACCTGAAACTGCTGGCTAAGGATAAGAGTAAATACAGTAAGATTGTTATTCACGCTGGTGGTAACGACACCCGGTTACGCCATTCGGAGGTCACTAAAATTAATGTTGCTTCGGTGTGCAAGTTTGCCAAAACAATGTCTGACTCCGTAATTTTCTCTGGCCCCCTGCCTGATCGGACCAGTGACGACATGTTTAGCCACATGCTGTCCTTCAACCGCTGGCTGTCTAGGTGGTGTCCTGAAAACAACGTGGGCTACATTAATAATTGGAAAACTTTTTGGGGAAAACCTGGTCTGATGCGGAGAGACGGCATCCATCCCTCTTTGGATGGAGCAGCTCTTCTTTCTAGGAACACGGCCAGTTTTATTAGTCCTTCATGACAACCCAGGGTCCAGACCAGGAAGCAGAGTCGTAGTTTAACACCCCCTCTGCAGCTTCAGTACTGTTACCCACCCACTACCCCATAGAGACAACAACAGCACAGACTGCCTTGCTAAACTTAATGGTGCCTTATTCAGTGATATTAATGTGGTAAAAAAAAAGCTTCACTTGGGTTGGACAAAAGCAGAGATGATTGCAATGATCGTTCTAGGACCCAAAACTGTGCGGGATATTTTGGACGAGCTGTCTCCACAAGAAGGTGAGCCTGCATATTTCTCTGTCTCCACTGATGCCTCGAACAAAGGAAATAGAAAGATGTTTCCAGTGTGTGTCAAATATTTCTCTGCTTCTGAAGGAGTGCTGTGTAAGCTACTGAACTTTTATGAAGACTGTGATGACATCGTCCTTGTAGTTTTATAAGCTGATAATTAAACTGAAGCAAACATCTTTACTGTGAACTAAATTTACTGTGTATCTTCATTCCTTTTGCTGTTCTTTTTCTTTGATTTTTCCTACTGGGAAGTTAGAATTTCTGAGGAGAAAGCGAACGCACCATTAGCTGATAGCAATGGTGGCAATGGAAGCTAATTTATCAAGCTAACGTTATCTTAAAGAGCAAGTAACATCTAAATTAACTTTTTTTTTTGCTGATGAACTGTATAAATGAGTGTCTAATAGTGTTTTAAGCGTGTGTATTCATTATTTTTGCATTTTGGTGCATTTTCTTTAAAAATTAAAAATTCTGCCTAAATACCACAGTATAGCGCCACCTTCAGCTTAAAACATAGAGTTGGAGTCATTTTGAATACACTTTAGCCAATGGCTGAAGAGTAAGATGCTACATAAACCAGTAGAGTACTACGTAGCAGCTCTGTGTCAAAGTTATAAAAGCATCGAGAGTCTCGGCCAAGCCTTCTGGCTAGTTGGGAGTTGGATTTGCAAGCGAGTGTAGGACGGTTAGCGGTAGTTCAGCATTAGCATATAGCATTAGCATATCCTAATCTTTAGCGTAGCTTTTAGTGTTATACATACTTATTTAGTGTTAGCTTGGCTGTTGGATATTGTAGTTTAGTGTTTGGCTGTTAGTGTTATTAGGAAAGTAGTTCAGGTTAAGTGCTCCATATCGTGTTAGTATGGTGAGAAGGTGTAGTGCAGTGGGTACGGTGGCTCTGTGGGGTTGCACTCCTTTCCGCTGGACTTAGAAATTAGGCGCCAGTGATTGCACGCAATCGGTGTCTGGAAAACAGTCAGCTCCCGCCTGGTGCTGTAGTTTGCAACCAGCATTTTACCCGTGATTCCTTCGCCAACATGATGGAGTTTGAACTTGGGTGTTCTGCACGTCTCCGTTTGAAGAGCGAGGCCATGCCCACCGTGGCTCTTCCGCGATTTAGATGCAGCCCACCGACTCTGCTCCCCCACCATGGCGGGCTACAGTCTGAGGTGAGTAAGCTAAATAAAAATTTTAACATCTTCTAAAGACAATTCCCTACCTAAATGAAAAGTTTGAGAGACGTGGTTCACTTAATTTAGCTAATATCAGCCTGCACTGCCTTCGGGCTGATTTGTCAAAAATGTGATGGTAAGGTTAGAATCAGCGGCGAATCGGAACATATCTCAAAACCCTGGCCGACGAAACGGTCCACATGACTATTACTGTCAGGCTCGGAGAAAATTCTGGTTGTTTTTGTGTCAGTCGGTAATCCTGCAACAGTGGCTCTAATGCAGCACTAGTTTATAGACAGCGTTACAGCATGAAATCCCGCTTTATACCACAGCGTGACCCGGTCCTGTGAGGAATTCTGTTCAGTAGGTCACATTTCAGGTTCTTTTCACGTCATATGTGACTGACTTTTACGTTATAATAACATCACACACTAGGAATGTTATAAAGCGCCTATATAGGACAGTTTCTTTTGTATATTATCCGACTTTATAAACTCCAACAACAATGTGCTTCTATTTTTTTTTCAGGCTAAATCTACCCAAGACACTGGCTGTCAGACTGATTTAGTAGTCTGCAAGAATGCACTTGTCCAGGCTGACGTGAAGCAAAGGTGAATTATTTTTAATAATCTTCTATGTAAACATTTTATTATCACCTTCTAGTTTTGTTTTACAGATTATTGTTACACGTGATTTTATGCCCTTTTAAACATTTATAAATGTGCTGTTTCTTTGTTTTTACATAGCCACCCAGAATAGAGCTCACAGCCTCAGTGTGTCTTGTGACACGGGGACCATGATGGAAATTCATCTTCCAGAAAGTCCCAGAGCAGCGTCCACACCCCTGAAAAGACCAAGATGTGAGGTGTCTGCTGTTGATTCCAGCTTCCACCTCAGTGACAGTGCAAGCTCAGTGAACTGTTCAAGGTAAAAAAAATTAAAACATTTCAGAATTTTTAAGATATTAACAATTAAATAAGTAAGTGATTACATCATGACATCATGAAGGAGGCTACTAATTCTGCCCGTGACACTTGGTGGTGACGTGTGAGCTGATTCACCTGGTAAATAACTTTTACATTAAATATTTTGTTCTTTGCTATCAAAAGTAAATTAACTAATAACCTGCATTATTGCAGGACACTCAGCAAAATATAGACTCTACACCATGAGGCAGGCACACGTTAATACTCTATAAGAGCACACAAGGTGAGCAACACCACATATTGTACACTGTCCTGGATTTGTTTTCTTTCTCCATCTCATCATTAGCCTGGCTGATCACCTGATAACTCCTGTCATCTGGTTGTGACAGCATGAGGATGTCCTCACACACCTGTAACCTATCAGCTCATCTGGCAGAATAGAGAGAGAAGAGACAACACCACATCTCCTGTTCCTGGAAAGCCTTCAGCCATCCTTCGATGACTGAGAACCTCCATCAGCTCTGTCTCTTGTCTGCCTACAATTATTATAATAAATTTTGTGTTTGACAAGTTTTTTGTGCTGCCAAATATCTCATTTTGATTCCAGTTTTGATATTTTAATGGATATTTCTAAATTACATTAATTGAATTATCACAATGCATGTTTAACTAGCTCTATTGTGATGAATTAAACTAGCACCTCACTGTTAAAAGCTTGTTTTAATTTCAAGCATGTTTAAGTATTTATGGACATGAACAAAAACAGGAAATATATAAACTGAGATTTATTTAATTAATATAACAAATAAGGGGGAAAGAATCATTGAAAGGCACATTCTTCTGGAAGCTCCTGATCCTGACGACACCAGCAGAGGAGACCACCTGCAGACACCAGAGGATCACCTACAACCAAAGCCCTTTTCAGACAGACATTCTGGAACATTTGCGGACAATTCAATCCGGTTTTTAACCGGAACTGTGTTTTGAGACACACCACTTTTGTACCGGAACTTGTCCTTTCGACTGCGTTCACACAGCAGGGAAAAGTTCCAGATGTCTGACGGCGGCGGGGGGGTGGTGGGGGGAGAGAGAATCGGACTCATGTTAAGAAGAAGAAGAAAATATCATCTCTATAGCGCCTCTCAAGATAAAAATCACGAGGCGCTTAAGCATAATTCTGCGCACACGAAGACGCATAAGAGACCTGGATGGTGAAGCTCAATGGTTAAAGGAATCACTGAAGCGGTGTGAAGCGCTCCGTCGCGCGTCTAGACGGTACCGTAGGAGGCGAGCTGCCGTGGTTCGCCGCATGCTACAGCAGCGGGCTATCTAGGTGCGCACAGCGTCCCCCGGTCCCCTCCTCCTCCCCCTCCCTCTTGTCCGGAACTTTACCTCACCAGTCTGAAGAAGCCAGCCTGTCTGTAACAAGTCCGGACCTGTTACTAGGGGCTTCGTTCGGATAAATTCCGGAACACGTTATCCGGATGTTTGTATTCAGACAGAAAGGTCTTACGGACAGAGTCCGGAACATTTCCGTTTTTCATGGCCTGTCTGAAGGGGGCTTCATATACAAAAAACCATAATATAAATACAACATCTTGGACCGATATATGACAGAATAGTGTCCCAGGCTTTGAAACTTATATGGGAAACTTTTTTTCTGATTGGCTTAATGAATGTTTACCATGTGAAGTGCCTTGAGAAGACGCTTGTCGTGATTTGGCGCTGTATAAATAAACTTGAAATGAATTTATTAAATGTCAAAACGGCTTGCCGGAATTCCAGATTAGTCTCCTCCCTTTCCGGTCGGCCCATGGATTCCGGATGAAAGAATGAATGCAAGTGAAGCAGTGAAGTTATTTTCTAATTATCTGCTTTGCCTTCGCCTCAAATCACATATGTTGTACATCAGTTTAAACAAGAAGTAATTATGTGAGTTTCGACTAAATCGGTCACGTACTTAGAGATTTGTTTGAGCTTGGCTTGAGAAAATATTTAAATGAACTTAGATTTAAATGAATAAAATGTTCTGTATTTAGTTTTATGTTTATACTTGTAGGGAAATTAATTTGACTTAAACTCATTTTCTGTTGGAATTCAACACAACCTTCCAGACCTGAATAGATCCAATATTTAAACATTAACTAAACAGACAGGAGATATTTTAAAATCCAACAAACATGAAAAATGTCCCAAAACTCATCAATTTTCATTTAAAGACAAAAACGTTAAATAATTCACTCAACGTCAGTTTTTATTACGCACGTAAAATATTAATTTCATCACATCAGCGCAGATATGATGGCCTGAGTGTAAAACAAAACAGCAGCAAGAAGTGAACGTTAGACAAAAAACAAATAAATCATAAACATTTCGTATAAATGGAATCAAACACAAATGGATGAAATCTGTTTCACTAATTAACTCAGTGAATGTGTTTGTTCACAACAAAGTGAGACAGTTTTAGCGTTAAAATAAAACAAATCAGTGCAAAGAGCTGAAACTCATCAGATCGTTTAAAATAAAACTCCCATTTTCTCAACAGCTTCCTTAACTACGTGGAACATTTCCAAATTCTTTAACCCTTAGATCAACATAAGATGTTTATTTAGTGTATTTTTCCCTCTTATTATAATTTCAAACAAACAAAAAAAAAATCCCATAATTTGAATAAGAAACGTCTCAGTTTAGTATGCAGCAACACTTAAAACTAGGGCCGTGGCTCGATTAAAAAATTTAATCAGATGAATTAGAGGCTTTGTAATTAATCTAAATTAATCACATTTTTAGAGTGTTTCTGTTTTAACTTAAACTTCTGTTTTCAACTTTAAGACACGTTGCTTGTTTACAGAGTAGTGAGAACACGGAGCGTGACTACTTTCATAAACTACTGTTAGGGCAAAGAATTATTCTGTCTGGAGCTTTCAGCGCTGCACAGATGTTACGTAAATGTTAAAAATATAGCTTAATGCAATTTTTGTAAAGTTTCCGGTGCCACCGAGCAGCTGCAGCAGAGACGATCTCTGAAAAATGTCCGTGACACGGACTCAGTTGTCGTCTGGAAGTTTTTTTTTATCCAAGAAAAGAAGCGGACGGGTTTCCTAAATCCTGCATCAGTCCAAGCAAGGCAACTTCTTTCTGTTTTTATTACGTTTTAGTAGCCATTAGCACTGTGTGTTGTGTGCGTCAGTGATATTTGGTCTACGAGGAAATCGTGCAATGACAAAGGTTCCGCCTTGCTCGAAATGCAAGCTGTGATTAAATGCGTTACATTTTTTTAACGCGTCATTTTTTTCTAATTAATTAATCATAATTAACGCGTTAAAGTCCCGGCCCTACTTAAAACACATTTAGGAAGTTCCCCTCTGAGGTCTTCCCAGTTTGATGGACAGATTTTATCAGGGTAAAGAAAAGCTGTGAAGTTGCTTTTAAATGCCGAGTCCACCTGTATCACATGACCGCCGTTCACCTGTTTCTTTACAGCTCCAGAGCCTCAAACAGCAGGATGATGAACAATGGGCTCTCCAAACGGGTCAGGGACAAAGTTCTGCTGAAGCACAGATTAGAGTCTGGCTATAAATCAGAACCCATTATCTCTGAACATCTCCTAGAGCTCCATTAAATCTATTTTAAAAAGAGGAAAACTAAAACCGCGAAGCTGCCAGGAGAGGTCAAAGCAGCAGAACTTTTGGACCAGGCGGGAATTAATCAGAGCCAAAGACGCTAAAAGGTAAAAACTGAAGGACAAACAATAACATTTAAACAGAAACAACCTCAAGCAGTCTCTACACTCACTTGGAATCTTTAAAGAAACCCAAAACCACAGCGAAGCACGGCGGTGGCGGCATCATGATGTGGTTTGTTCTGAACACTGGTCCTAAATAATTGATCCAACTGAAGGACTGAAGCTGCATTCAGGAATCTTCCTTTGGACAAGCTTTACGTTTTTAAAACCATTTAGATATTCCACATCTCTGTAAGCCGATGGTTCCTGATTTAGCGCTGATGGAGGGACGGTTTAGGGAGAAACCTTTAAAAGGGTTCAGAGTTCATGTGAAAACCCAAATCTAAGCTGGTGTTTGATTTAAAGCAGAAGGAAACCAGTTCCTGTTCATTTAAGCCAGAACGTCGGAGCTGCTTCTGCTGGAGGCGAGGCGAGGCGAGAGCAAAACTGTAAGAAAACACACAAAGGGACATTTTAGAGACACGTTTTCCAGCTGAGCAGGACATGAGGGACAGACGACGTCCCTGCAGACACATTTATAAAAATTATTGTGCTGTAACTTAGTTTTATTCTCAACTGATCCTCATTCGAGTCAGTTTGGGTTTCCAGCTTCTCCAGAAGCGGTTTCAGATTTCTGACATGTTCTTCCTGCTAAAAACCAAACAGAGACGGATTCCCGAAGAATTCTGGGTCCTCCTGATGATCCGAGATATTCCCAGGAAAACTGTGGCCCAAATTTCCTAGAAACATCGAAAATTTTAGCGACACAACAGCAATCCAGAAGCCCACCGACCCGGATACAACCTGATTTATTGCTTTAAGAATGGCTCCATGACACATAATTCCTGTAGAAACATCTGAACTGAAGCTGGGCTCCGAGTCAAAACTGGGACAGAAATATTGAGGAAAAGAATCAATTTCCTTCTGGTTTACAGTGATTTTATAACTCGACCAAAATGAATCAGATGTGTGTTTAAACACAAACTCAGAAGGAACCTAAAAGTCTAGAGGATCGTCAGCTATCGTACAGGAAGCTCCGTTCTGCCCAACAGGAGCTCCTGGGGGTAGGAAGCTCCTGTTGGTCTGAGGGAAAAGCCAAACTTTACAAACAGATGTTTCCCTTAAGCATCCAAGTGCTGTAGAAAGCTCTAGAGTGGCCTGCTGGCTGAACGGGATTATCTCAAATGTGTCGACATGGCCTTTTTCTCCCTTCCTGAATCCCATTTTTTCCTATTTCACCTCCTCTGTGGGCCACGCGCCCCGTTCAAGCTCGTTTAGTTAACTAAACCAGAGAAATTCACCCAAACATCTCAAAAACAAATATTAATGTCCATCTCTGCAGAAAAGATCTGGTTCATGACTTTTTTTAATCCCATCAGAGGGATTATCTGTGTGGAAACACAACAAACACGTAATCCAAACAAAAATATGGATGTTGTAAAAAAAAAAAAAAAAGATTTAGTGAGATTTCAAACTCGGGTGAAAGCAGCAGCGCTCAGTTCATCCAGGCGTAGGCGAACAGACCGTTCTCCTTCCACAGGTCACAGCGAGTGGACGCGGGGATCTGGAGCGTCAGGTTGCTGGACAGCAGAGCAGTGGCTGATGGGTACTCGGGCCAGTCCGCCTCCATTTTACCTGCAGGAGAAGCAAGCCAGTGTGACTTTCTGATACATTTTTACCTGCTGCATCAGACAGAAACCAAGTCTGAAAGGTGCAGTTTGTAGGTATTTGGCTCCACCTAGTGGCACAAATGAGTCACTGCAACCAAGTAAAGAGAAACCGTATAAAACCGGTGTTTCTCCTAGAAAATTTCCAGCTGCGGTGGTGGGGCGGCCGGGGGGGGGGGGGGGGGGGGGGGGGGGGGGGAGGCTTGGGAGAAATTATGACAAGTCTCTAAATAAAGTAAAATTTTCCAGTGCAGATTGGAGACAACCCATAGAAGCACTGATTTGATCTCATTTCAGAGAAAAATAGAACAGGTCAGATGCACCTAATAAATTTACTAACAAACTCAGGAATCTTTCTTTGCTTCACTGTTCTGGTGCTGAGAATATCACAGAATATCACTAATGCGGATCAAAGGAGATACACAGATGAATGCACCTCTTATTTATTATTTGGAAACTACATTTACTGCAGCTGGCAGAGGCAGAGATTTTTTCTATTGATACACAGAATCATTTTAAATGTTAATAGGGGAAGACTGCAGGAGGGAGCGGTAAAATACAGGGGGTCCCCAGCAAAAACAAGAAACTTTACGAGTCTGATGAAACCCGCTGGTTTTCCATTAGGCAGTCACGGGGCAGCTCCAACGACCCAGTGGCTGTGCTGGGTCAATGTTATCGAGCCCAGTCCGGTGTCGGTACAGGATCAGCTCGGGGTCCGTCGACTGCCGATGACGTCAAAGTATGACAAACCCACTCGGACAAAATACACTACATATCTTTATACTGTTGGAAAGAATTTAGCAGTTTCGTTATTAAATAATGTTTCTTACGACGAAAGTTAGTGTTTATAATGGTAATTGTAAAATAAAACACTATATTGTACTCATAATGTTGAACTCCTCTTTGAGCACATCCCTTGAAGGATCATAGGTGTTAGCAACACCTGTGAAATTGTATTTGCAGGAAACAAGTGTGTCCCCTTTATTGAAGTATTTTGTGTTTAGTTTTTGACGTCTTGTCCATGCGTAGTTCAGTTACGCTCATAGCTGCTAGCCAAAACTCTGGAGTTAAAAGTTTTCTGGCTTTACTAAAATACCTGTCTGTATTTGATTGATGGTAGTTTTACTTTCTATTAGACTCCAAATGTAATCATTTGGCACGTTTCTAATTCATAATTTGTAAGAATGTAATCGGTGATATTAGCATTAGCATTCCTATGGGTTTTTCCATGTATATTAGCGCTGCGCTAACCACTCGCTGCCAAATTGCAGCCTTTGCGATTAGAAAATCTCCTTTTGTCACATCGCAATTTAATTGCACATGCAGTTAATCGTTCAGCCCTAATATACATGCAGCTCTATGCTAAAAGTGTATTTAAAAAAAGGCAATGATGGATTTCTTTGTAAAAGTTGTCCATCTTTCCAACAGAAAGATTTGCCTGGACCAACGTAACGTGATAACAACGTAACGTGATTATGTAATTCCGTACGGTTCATGTTCAGCCAATCAACTACTCAGACGTCATCGGCAGTCGATGGACCCCGAGCCGATCTTGCACCCGAGCAGATCTTGTACCGGCACCGGCTCGGCAGAGGGTGAACGAGCCGAGGCGACGTCGTGCTCTGCTTAAGAAGAGGTGTTATTTTCCCACTTCAGAAGAAGCGTCCAACGTGTTTTTACGCTTTCTCCGAGACATGTCACGTCGCTAAGTTGTTAGCGCTGCGCGCTAACACGTCAATAGTGCAGCGTAGCCTGCTGGAGGTTTTAAGGGTTCAGAGTAAAACACCCGACCTCTCAGGCTGCTCACACATCGATCTTAATTTGTCGCTGTTGCGCTCACGCCGTAATACAGTATTAGATGCGGTTAAAGTCAGACATGAAAAAATAAATAAATTTTACATGAATAAGTGCTTAGCCTGGTGGGAGGAGGAGAACCTGGCCTAATAAGCACTGGAGGAAACCCTGTCAAGATCGTCAACACTCGTTTATCTTAATGCTATTGACACATGTAAACCAAAAAGCATTATATCCACTGCTACCTTTCTAATTTTAAACTCAGTAACTTATGCTGTAACTGCACCTTGCCCTGCCTGCTCCTCCTTGCTGCCCGCCGGCTGTGATCACAAGCGACAACATAGTAGTTCCCGCTGCTTCTTCGGGAAACAGCGCCAAAAAAAAAACAACAAAAAAAACTTGGGATCTTGTAGGCGTGGCGGTGGGATTTCAGCCATGGCGGGCCGACACGGCTACGCCTATGTAAGGGAAACCCTGATAAAACACATGTGAGCAGCAGGTGTTTGAACAGAGTCAGGACATGGATCATCTGGCACCTCCATCCCTGTAGAGCCTGCTCCCCAGAGCACATCAGAGTTGATCTTTTCCCAGTTAAAAATATCAAATCGTTACAAAATAAAACAGAGAACGTCTATATTGTCTTTAGTTAAAAAAAACCCAGTTTAATGGGAATAAACATGAAGCTGAAGTAAAATTGCTCAGGATCAGAACACACAACTTCTGGTAGCCCCGCCCCTCAGATGATCTGACCAATCACCATGTTTTATTTGTAGTTTTCTGAGTTAAGAGAAACTGGACCCGAGGAACCGAACTACAGGAGTGGAAAAACCCTAAAAGGGTCCGGAAAGAGCGGCTCTAGAAGATTTAAGTTATTCCACGACTGATTCCTGATCTGAGGTCTGTTATTCTGTGTTTGGAGCTTCAATCTGATTTTTTACAATTAACTCGTTCACTGCCAGTGACGTCATTTGCATGTTTTTACTGCGTGGGCGTCGGGCGAGCCCCCGCACCGTGAGAACAAACATCTCAGCTCTACAGCCGATCTTCATCCGCGTACGTCACACGTCACGTGATCAGGAAGCAGAACAACCATGTGTTAGGAGATCGTTTTGAGCCTCTGCTGTAAAAAAAGTGAGGCGTGAACTGGAAAAGCTTCTGCCGATCACAATTCAACAACGGATTATGAAAGAACGGACAACGCTCGAAACACGCAGATTCTTCCTGATGTAAGAGGTGAGTCTTTGCTTTGTTTTGGTTTGTTTTGGCGTCGACGTCATCCTAGCGCGCAACGTTCTGTCACTCTTTAAAAAAAACGTAAAAACGGTGAGAAACGCTGGCAGCGAATGAGTTAAACCTAGTTATGTCTGCAACGGTTCTTCGTCCATGTTTGGCTGATTGGTTCCGAGCACAATACGGAAACATGATCACCTGTCTTGGCAAAGTTGACGAGATGTTTCGTGATGAGCTTCTGGAAGTTTCTGTCCTCCTCCGAGAGATTATCCAGGAAGAGCTCCAGGTCTCCAAAGAAGGCCAGAATATCCAGAGAGTGGAAGGAGAAGCGGCTGGGGAACCACAGCAGGCTGTTGGAGGTTTTGGCGGGTCCGGATGGCGTGTGTGTCACCACGTAGCGATACACGGGACTGCTGAGGGCATCTGTGGGAAAGAGGAGGATGTTGAAGTTGACCTAAAGCACAGGTGAGTCTGTGAAAATGTTACGATCAGTTAGAAAACAAGAATGAAGAGAACTGTGTAAAACATTTAAAGAAACCTAAATAAGAGGGGTTTTTTTTGGAAGAAAACAAAAAGAAATGAAGAAACTCGAGTTATAGTTAAAGAGCATCCAAATTCAACTGTTTTAAAGTCACATGAGTCATCACACACTCATGAAATTCACCTCCACATGTGACCCATCCCCGTGGGGAGCGGTGAGCTGCAGCTGTGGCTGCACTCGGGAACTATTTGGTGATTTAACCCCTAATCCAACCCCTTAAAGCTGAGTGTCAAGCAGGGAGGCATTGGGTTTTTGGTGTGACCCGACCGGGATTTGAACCCAGATCTCCCTATCCCACCACCGAGAAGGTAATGTTTGTAACGGTTCCTCATTCATGTTTGGCTGACTGGTTCCGAACAATTATATTAGTTCAAGTAATATTTAACGAGTTAAATTAAAGACCAAGTTTAGTTGTTTTTTCAACACTTCTGCAGTGGTCTCTGGTATAAACGCACGCCTGTGAGTCGATCTCCATGGAGAAAACAGCTCTGGCACTCCTGTTTCAGGAAGTAGAAGCTAGCCAGGAGAGAGGGGAGCAGAGGAGGGCAGGTTTTGGAGTCTTATTCCCTAATGTTTGGAAATCTCGCTTCTGATTGGCTAACAGTAACACGATTCTACTGATGTCTCCATTTGCTTTGTAACGTTGATGTTTTATCTCCCCCTTTCCAGTCAGAGTTCCCCTGTCTGTTTTTATCGGAGGCTAATGCAGGAACTATTTTTACATCTAGCCTGACTGAAACTTAAGAGTTACCGATCATATTTTAAAAAACAACAGAGTGTACAGTCTGTGAAGACGACTCTCCCTTGCCCTGACTCCAACATGCCTCCATCTAAAAGGCTAGGTTATCCAGAGTTATCTCTGTAGTTATGCTGCTATAGGCTTAGACTGCTGGAGGATACACTGACCACTTTCCACACTCGACTACTTTCTTCTACAATCTGCTCTTTAACTGTATTATTTCCTGCTACTTCAGCTGTTAACTTTATTTTCTCTCTAAGTGTTTTTCTCCCCAGAAGAAGCTACAAAGGTGTTCTGCTGAGCTGTGGTGGCCTCATGGAGGGGGCCATCGGCTAGCACACTGCTGCTAACCACTTAAACATTCTCCCTCTCCTGATAGTAACTTTTTGCTTTCCTTGTCGTTGGATGTGCTACTACTAGTTTACCCGTTTAATTATAGATCCACTAGGATAAATACAATAAAGTTTATCTCTCACCAAATAGAATATTTACTAAGAAATCACAATGCAACCATAGAACATTACTTGGTATTTATGGTGTGTGTGTGTGTGTGTCTGCTTATCCTGAGCTAGGATCCTCTGGAGGTTTCTTCCTGTTAAAAGGGAGTTTTCCTCTCCACTTTCGCTAAATGCTTGCTTAGTATGAGGATTGCTGTATAGTCACTGACACTAGTCAGTGACTTGATGCAATTTGCTGGGTTCCTTATATAGGAAACATTATTTCTGATTGGCTTAATGAACTGACCTGAATTGGAATGTTTATTATGTGAAGTGCCTTGAGACGACTCTTGTCGTGATTTGGCGCTATATAAATAAAATTAAATTGAATTAAATTGAACTGAATTGAATTGAGAAACACCCTAGTTCTCGGTGTAGACAGAGGACGAGTCTGGCAGGCCAGGCTATAGCACCAGCCCCCCCCGAGACCCTGCGTGGATAAGCAGGTACAGAAGATGGATGGATGGTTCTGACACCCAAGCTGATGAGTTACTGATTTAAAACCGGTTTATAATTTGCTGACAACTTTTGTATCGGCGTCTGCAGTGATGCGGACGCTGAGCCGATCTGTCGTGGGGAAGAGGGAGCTGAGCCAGAAAGCCAGGCTCTCGATTTACCGGTCGATCTACGTCCCAGTCCTCACCTATGGTCATGAGCTTTGGGTAATGACCGAAAGAACGAGATCGCGGATACAAGCGGCCGAAATGAGTTTCCTCCGTAGGGTGGCCGGGCTCAGCCTTAGAGATGGGGTGAGGAGCTCGGACATTCGGGAGGGACTCGGAGTAGAACCGCTGCTCCTCTGGATCGAAAGGAGTCAGTTGAGGTGGTTTGGGCATCTGGTCAGGATGCCTCCTGGACGCCTCCCTGGGGAGGTGTTTCGGGCATGTCCTGCCGGCAGGAGGCCCCCGGGTCGACCCAGGACACGTTGGAGAGGTTACATCTCCAATCTGGTCCGGGAACGCCTTGGGGTCCTGCCGGAGGAGCTGGTGGAGGTGGCCGGGGAGAGGACGGCCTGGAGCTCCCTAGTTGGGATGCTGCCCCCGCGACCCGGACGGATAAGCGGAGGAAGACGAGACGAGAGACGAGACTTTTGTATCAACATTTAAACTATTTTACAGTAAATCTTCTGTATTGATTTAGTGTGACTGGATCTATGACTGAGTTGTGAAGCACCTTGGGGGGTTGAAGAAGGCAATTTACATAGCACCTTCTAAAGTCCTAGAACCCCCAAAGGCACTTTACAACTCAACAGTCATTCACACGTTCACAGCTGGTGGTGATGTCACCCTGTAGCTACAGAAGCCCTGGGCCACAATGACGCAGGCGTGGAAGTTGTTTTCCAAACTGGCTGTGATTAAAAACAGAGAAGCTGAGCACAACGCAGAAAGAAAAGCATGATGTATGCAAAAACTACCCAGAATGCCTTGCAGTCACCTCAACAGCTCGGTGTGGTTACTCTGAGCTGAGTGAGTTTTGCAAACCCTGGAGGCTGAAGCACAGATCTAAAACCTGCTGAACCCAAAACCCAAAAAATAAGAAACGTTACAGAAAATAAAACGAGACAGACCGCTGACAGGAGCCTTTAGTTTTACACCAAACTGGAAAATAAAATCACTGCTCGTTGCGGGTGGACGGGGAAATTCTTTTCTAAAGCCTGGTTTATGCTTCTCCGTCAGCTCCGCACGGGACAGACACGCACGGATTGACGGAAGCGTTTTGCTCTTTTACTTCTCCGTCTCCTGGAGAGTGTTGCAAAGCAATTGCTCAGCAGGACAACAGAGAGCGTAGCGCTGTTCTGTGGTATCCTGTCATGTATCGGTCCAAGATGGTGAGTTTATATTGTGTTTTTTGTGTATATAAGAGACTTTTAACACGGACATATTTGTCTCTCATTCTCCCACCGCTTCATGCGCTCCCCACCTCTAAACCCACGTTTCCTGTCATTTCCGTCCACAAATAAAACGCTTGCTGCGCATCTTTTCACTCCTCCAGTAACGGGAGAACGTTCATATTTTTAGTTTTTTCGCGAGGTATTCTTCAAGCTTCTCCGTGTCTGCCGCTAGTTATCCTCGGCTCTCTTTGCAATGGCGGCGCTGTAAACAACAGCGGCGTCCTGACCAATCACAAGCTTGCATAATCCGTCTCGTTCGACGGATGTTTAGAAAAGTGGGCTCGACTCCGTACGTACTTGCGTGCCTGCCGGAGCCCTACGCAAGGACGGATAATGGCGTTGCGTGTCTCCACACTGATGCAGACGGAGAAGCATAAATCAGGCTTAAGAGGGTGTTGTGGAGAAAGTCCACCCCCCTCGGTCTCCATGTTGGACAGTCAGACCCTGAGCTTCATCCTCTCTGTGAGTTTACCTGCAGCCCTTTGGGCCAGATCGTTGTTGGGACACGTGACTCTGATGTCGGACACCATGGTGGTGTACGCCCTCTCTGGACAGCGGTCTCTGGTGGGACAGGGTGCCGAGGACGGATACAGCTCCAGCGCCTTTCCAGGAAGATCCGGACTGAACGTCTTAAGTTTCTCTAAAAAGCCCCAGAAAAACAAAAACAAGTTAAAAATAATCCTCTGAGTGACTGGATCAGTTTTGATGTTTTGTAGGAAAACGTCCCCAACAGAGCAATAAACTAAATAATTTAACATCATCTTAAGGAAAACAGGAGTGGTTTAAAACTCATTTATATTTACAGGTTTAGATTAAACCAGCTTTCACGTTTCTAACTAAAGGAAATTTCATTAACAAGTTCATTAAATATTTATTTAAAAGTGTTTCATAATCAGGCATCATTAGAGCCTAAAAACAGGCTGAGCATGAGTGGGTGTCCGGCGTGCATTTTTGTAAGTCTTTGGTTGTATGTGCATGTGTGAGCATGAGGGAGGGAGTGTGTGACTGTGTTTGTGTATGACTGTATATGTCAGGTGGGGCCTTTGACTGCTCCCCTCTCCTGGGACTTCTTTTGATGATATAGATCTTCGTCTCCCCTCCCCCTGCCACACCTGGTGTGGGGTGTAGTGCCTTGGTCTGCCTGAGTGTTCGTGGCTCCCGGGTCAGGGGGTTTAAGATTTTTGGCGTCTGCTTGATCAATCCCGGTGGCTGCCTGGTGGGGTCTGGGTCCCTGGGCTCTGCTGGGTCCCCGGCGGGGGTGGTCGCCCCTGGGTCCCGGGCTCGGCTGGCTAGGGCAGGGGTCGGCAACCCAAAATGTTGAAAGAGCCATATTGGACCAAAAAAACAAAAATGTCTGGAGCCGTAAAAAATTAAAAGCCTTATAATGAAGGTAACACATGCATGTATCTATATTAGCCTACTATCAAAATGACTAAGTTGGCTACAAATACATAATGAGCCTTCATGATTAGATGTTTATTTTCCCTGTAGCGCATCCTGTAGAGAACGACGCACCACGTGACTACGATGCCGCCTCAAGTTTAACTTCATTACAATATTAATGAATCATGTTTCATTGCTTTGAGAAATTAAAGAAATGCAATAAAGAAATCCGACTTTTGATGTCATTTTTATTTTTAAGATTCGAAAAAACTACAAAATGGAACGTGCATAACGTGCCCCTCATCGGGGCAACAAACAGTGCAATAAAACGCAGCCTGCATTTATAAAAACGACTCCTTCATGTAGTCTGTGAACGGGTTTCCACGCTTTATTATCTCCCAGGTTGCAACAAAACTTGCAGCAGTAGTGGAGTTTGGAGATGCAATCCACTTCTTAAATCTATTTTTGCGCTCCTGTAATTTCTCCAGAAGTAATGCAATCCCACTTTTTCTCTCACTCCCAACTGGACACTCGGCTGCAAATGTAGCATGCCTTCCCTGGAAATGTCTTTCCACATGACTCTTTTTGTTATTTGACAACTTCTCGTTACAGAGCGAACATTCAGGCAATCCTTCCAAATTGGCAATGAAAGCAAATGATTCGGTCCAAGAAACGTTGAATCATCTGTTCTCCTCAGTTATTTTTCTCTTTTTCCCTTTGGGATCCATGGCCAATCACACAGCCACCGATTTGTTTACAACAGCCACCTGCCTGCCTGGCATCCCGCCCGGCTGATAGAAACGTGTGTCGCAGGCTATGACGCAAATCTTCGTTGACAGAAATGTTGAAATTTAATATTTTTCTACACATTTTTACAGCACTGAAAAATGTTAAGAATGTTTGTGTCATTTTTGTCCTCCTACAGAAACTATATTAAAACAAATCATTTATTTCCTTCCGCCATCTTTTTCCATTTTCAAACATTTTTGAAAAAGCTCCAGGGAGCCACTAGAGAGCGCTAAAGAGCCGCAAGCGGCTCTAGAGCGCGGGTTGCCGACCCCCGGGCTAGGGGGTGGGAGGCTGCGGGCGGGCCTGTGGACTTGCCGCTGATATCTCCCAGGACTCTGCCGGCTGCTGGTTGTAGCCCCCCGGGGCGATCCTCTGTGCCTCTCGAGGGGGGCGGGGGCCTTTCTGGTTGCAATCTCCTGGGGGTCCTTATGTTCTGGTAGCCTGGCAAGCCAGACTAAATAAATGTAACCCTAACCGACCCTGAGGACCAACCTGTGACAAACCAGTGGTAGTCCCCCCACGTCCATGTAGAGATGTTTACAGCTAGAGGACTGAGGAGAAACCAGAGGACAGAGTTGTGAGTCCGGTACCAGCTGACTGTCATGAACCAGAACCAGGTGACCTCTCACCTGAAGTCGGCCTCCTGCTCGGTTGTCCCAACAACAAACGGGACGTCGTTCACCTTTCCCTTCTCCCAGATCTCAAAGGGCGGAGCTTGGAGGACGTAACCGTCCACGACCGCAACAGGTCCGATGAAAAGGCCTTTAGTAGGGAGGTCTGTTAGATCCGACCCGGCCCAGGACGGGTACTCCTCCCACGGGATGGCCTGAGACACACAAGCAACACGAGCCAATTAGAAACAAACAGATTCCATCTTTAGTCCGGGTATATGCAGGGATCTCAACGTTTAATTTAAGACTTTTCAAGACCCCGCAGATAACCCGTTAGTGCCCCCTACAGGCCGGATCGATGATCTACAATGTGTAAACTGTGATAAGTTTGGGTTTAGGAGGAACGCTAACCAGGAAGTGACAAACAGCTCTGCACATTTCCACAAAAAACAACAGCAAAGAGGTGAAGGGGATGGATACCGGTTTTTATTCCCAACCGTGCGGCAGATGGGATAGTCATCAGCTTTGTGAAAATGAACCAAACTAAATTAAAGTGTGAGATTTTTCAGCCTTTTCCTGGTGGGAACAAACTGTTAAAGCTGCAATAGTCAATATGGAAAATAAGTTAGCTTGAAACGTTTTTTTAAATGCCATGCTACGTACCCCTATGGGTTCGTATTTTGTGTGGGGAGACTTGTTTATAGCTCGCTCACTCCAGAAGACACCATCGCTCAGGATATTGGGAGCGCACTCACAACTTCCGGTTGGATCCGCCTGGGTTGCTACGCAATGGACACACAACTTACCATTGGGCCGCCAGGATTCGGCCGCCGCAGCTGTGGACAATCGGGATGATTATGTTCCTGGATTAAAAGGGACTCTTCGTCCAGCAGTAGAAGGGGGAGCTGCCTTGAACAGTGAGCCGTATCTCTCTTCCTGGGTCCGTGTTTTGGTGCCTTGATGTGGCATTTGTGTTGGGTTGGAACAACCGTAAGCCAAGCTGTTAGTGACCTGATGTTAAGCTGGGAGCTGCTCTGACCAGTGAGCTGTCTCTCCCTTATTGGGTTTTGTGTTTTGCCTTCAGTTCAATTCAATTCAATTCAATTAAATTCAAATTAAATTCAAAGATACTTTATTAATCCCAGAGGAGAAATTAGAGTTTCAGTACACACAATTCTGAGATCAGACATACATACATAGGCAAAGACACATGACAACAATTGGTGACTGTGGTCATTTGCAACCCGAGCCGCGCTACCTTAAGAGAGATCAGAGGGTTTACATGAGGGCTGGGTCAGGTGGAGGAAAAAAAAGGCACTTCAGAGTTGCCCTCCACAGGGAGGGCAGCTTTGCTATGCAAGAAACACCTCAGACAGAAATGCAACAGACTTCAGACATTACACAACATAAGTGTCCGCTAGGTGGCGTTGTAGGGTTGAGGACTCTACTCACATCAGTGCATGCAGCCACGATAAGCAGCGCTCGTCACCTCCGTTTGGACAGGGGGGCAATTGGCTTCGGTCACCGGGGAGGTGAATGCCGTGGAGACAGAGTTACCATGGCAACGGCAGCATTCCACATTTCTTCTGAGGGGGAGTAATCACTTCAGCCTCTCAGGCTCAAGGGTACTAGATTCAGATAAGAACTTGTTTTGGGGCCAGACAGAGATAATTTCCTCTCTGTCTTAAAGTTCTGTTGATCTCCAACCCCTCTGAATCCAATAATGGCGTAAATTAATCTATCCCAATCCGTGCTGATACGTCAACTCTACCCTTGATGACATCAACCTTCTGTGCCAGTCTGAATCTCACCCAAAGTTCCAAGCTTACGACTCATCTCGACAATAATATGAGTCAGTGTGTTCACAGCGCGGTGTAATCCATCCCTGAGCTCCGGGATTGAGCCAATATTCCTCGACAGCTCATTAATTTTCCGGTAAGCCAGGTAACCGCTCAGGCCGAACAGCACGAAACCTGACACCAACACCACAAATATCCAGGAATCTTCAGAATCCTTTACAGACAGTTGAGAGGGGGAGATCAGGTTCCACTGTTTCCAGGAGTCCATGATATGCCCAACTGGATCTGTCCCAGAAGGGCAACCGGGAGCCCCTTCTCCCGTTCTCATCACTGAAAAAAATTTGTCAATCGCGTTGAGAGACCAGCTGACCAGGTCCATTTGTAATAATTTCCAGTTTCCAGAAAAAAATGCAGAAGCGCCGTACACCCAAAGACAGACAAAGAGCCTTGGGATAAGATAGGGAGGAGAGGAAAAAAGCGTCTGAACTCTCCAAGAGCCGGAAGAAGAACTTGCCTCCGAGTTTGGCATGTGGTGGACCTGTTTTATTTGTCACCTCTTTGCTTTTTCCCCAAAGCTGTGTTAGTTTGGTTTTGTTAGATTCCCCGGCTTTGGAAGGATAGTTTTGTTGTCCTTGTTTTTGTATTATTTCGAATAAACCCGAGCATTCCTGCAATTAGAAACCATCCTTAAGATGGGTTGTAACATGCCTCTTAACATTCTAATATAGCAATAAGAATATTGTGAAGATACGATTTTTGTAGAAACTAATAAAAGTTGTGCTATAAATAAATCTTTAAAGGTGTGGTTCACCCATTTAATCAGTACATTTGGTGGTCTCTAGTAGGAATAAATGCCTTGTAATGCGTACTTAGGGGAAACAAAGCTCCAGTACACCGTTTCAGGAAGTAGAAATTAACCAGATCAAAGCTGAGCTTCAGACAACAGAATTTGGAGTCTTATTTCCTGATATTTGCCTCTGATTGGCTAACAGCAACTTACCTCTACCACTGACTGTTTTCTCTGCAACGTTGATGTTTTATCGCAACAAATAACACAAGCCTGGAGGAGCTCTGCTGTGTGGTGGAGTTGCTAGTGCTAACGGTTAGCTTCTACTAGACGAGATGTTCTCTGCTGTTTCCTGGGCGCTAAACCAACAAAAGCCTTCCTCGTCGTGAGTCAAGATGGGTGAGTCCTTGAAAATTAAGTGACAGCGTGATGTAGATATGTCAGGCTTTTCTAATCCTGGAGTTTCACCGTCTGTTTTCTATCAGAAGCTGATTCAGAAGATAGGTGTAGGAGACTATTTTCATGTTCAGCCTGCATGAGACAATCCGAGTGACCCGTTAGAATCAGAAATAAGACTTAAGACGTTTTTCAGTGCTCCACAACTTTAAGATCACGTTTCTGACTTCTTAAAATAATTAAAACAAAAATGTTACCAGTTCTTGTATTTTCTACATAAGGAAAAATAAAACTTAAAACAGTATTTGTAAAATGTATGAAGGCAGATGAGCACATATATTAGCTTAAATGAGAAGGTGTTTCAATGGAAACATTTAAAGAAATTAAACTTCCTGAAATATTTCTTAGTAACTTTCAGACACGTAAAAGTCTGAATGTATGACAAAACCCTAATCATGTATAAAATAATGATGTATTTGTGTGGGTGGAAACCGTCTATTACCTCCAGTATGATTTCATTTTTCAAACAGTAGAAGGTAAAACAGCAGAGAAGCTGCAAACTGGAACATTCCATCAGAAAACAGACAAAAATAAAACATATTTTAGGAGAAAGTGAGCGTTTCATTTATAAGAGTGGACATGTTTCAGAGCGTGGACATGCTGCTGTCAGTGTGGGTGCGTTCTTAGAGAGGTGGCGGTTCTGACCCGTGTCACTCACAACCGATCAGCTCTTAGGCCAAAGGGAACGTTTCCAGAAACTTTCAGAATCACACAGGAAGGGTTTGTAGGACTGGAGAAGAAATACACACAGCAGCTAAAGAAAAGGAAAAAAATCTATTTTAAATGGTTTTTATCTATTGATACCACCTGGTTAACTCATTCGCTGCCGGCCATTTCCTGATCGGTAAAGGTCTTCGCTGCCAGCGTTTCTCACAGTTTTTACTGTTTTTTTTAAAGAGTCACAGAACGTTGCGCGCTAGGATGATGTCGACACCAGAACAACCAAAACAAAGCAGAGAGTGACTCACCTCTTACATCAGGAAGAATCCGCGTGTTTCGAGCGTTATCCGTTCTTTCATAATCCGTTGTTGAATTGCGATCGGCAGAAGCTTTTTCGGTTTGCGCCTCACTTTTTTTACAGCAGCGGCCCAAAACGATCTCCTAACACATGGATTTTCTGCTTCCTGATCAATGGGACATGTGACGTATGCGGATGAAGATCGGCTTCAGAGCTGAGATGTTTGTTCTCTCAGCGCAGGGGCTCGTTCCGACGCCCACACAGTAAAAAATGCAAATGAATGAGTTAAGTGGGTGAGAACACCACCTATTATTCTCATGTCATGGCACGCGCTATGAAAACACAACATGACATGAGAATAATACTTTTAAAACATGTTTTTGCTCTGTTTGTCGGCTGCAGAAGGACATAAATAAACAGGAAACGAGAAGTCGCCATCTTAAAAAAAATGGAAGGAGAAATCATTTGTGTGATATGCTTGTCAGCCACTAGATGGTGCCATTGGGTAAGAGAAATACTCCAGAAAGAGACTGAGCGGGCCAGAATCCCACCTAGGTAAGCAGGTCAGAACCAGCCTAGTGAACTAGACCAAATTCTTGCTTTGCAAAGTTTGGTCTAGGCATGCTCCATTGGAACCTCTGCAGCTCCTACCAGGACTCTGGCTAGCCAATCACAGCTCTCTAGAGGGGTTTCAAACACATAAAGAGCTGTGATTGGTCCATAATGGTGGGCCAATCATAGTGCTCTTTCTGCTTAGTGAACAAATCACAGAGCTTTATCCGCTCTGTGGGCCAATCACTCTGGTGGGTGGGATGATGCAACAGAGTGAAACAAGAGTATGTCACATTCATTGTCCAGTGGAATGCGGAGATCATTTGAAAGACAACGGTAGAACCCGCCCCGCAACCGAGAACCGTCAGTGGAGCGTTGCCAGACTAAATAATACATTTATTTAGTCTGGCTTGCCAGGCTAGGTCAGAACACCAACTGGTTAAAGGTCAACTATGGAACACGGACAATCTGGCGAGCTCTGGTGTTCAGAGGTGGTATCGCAACTACAGAACAAATTTTCCAGCCGTTGGGATGTTGGTTCACTGCCGACATGTTGCAGCACCATGTTCAGAGACGAATCGTACAAGATGAGGACTAATTTCTACAAATAAGTTTCTTTTACAACAGTATTTACCGTTGGAACATCTTCTGGGCTGAGAATCAGCTGCTTGACTTGTCAAGTCTGCCATTTTGCACATTCCCAACTGTACCTTGCTGAGTGGACTTTTAGCACAACGGTGCCCTCTAGTGGCTGGTAGATGTAAACATAACCAGTGTCGTGCCCAATAGAATAAAAGTGTGATTATTTATCTTTTTAAATATAGCTTTTAAAGGCGAAACCGTACATTCATTCACCTCTGAACGCCCGGTGGATGTATTATTTATCTGAAAATTAAAATGTTCCATATTCTAACTTTAAGCAGGTCCGAACACCACCTGGTTAAGCGCGTCAGAAGGAAATGGTCCCGTCTCTCCACCCTCCTGCAGCAGCTTTCTACATTCTCAGTGACATTTTAAAAAGCTAATAAGAGTAAAGATGCAGAAGCAGCGCTGCTGCTCTTCTGAATAATGAATGTTATGAAATGATGATGAGTGCTGAACTTTCACGAGTCACTCTGAGGTCGTCGTCAAACACGCCGAACTGAAGCTCTTCAGAAATTTCCACTTCTCCTCGGAGGATTTTCCATTTTAGAAGTCTTAATGGAGTTTCAGAGAGCAGCAATACGAATGTTTAACCACGGCTGTAAATTCCTCTTCCCATTGCGTTTAGACTTTCATTTATGAAGAACTTACAAAGTAAAATAGAAGACCTTCAGGTCCTTGGATTCTCTGACGTGACATTTATAATCCAAATGAATTTACATTTTATCAAATCGTCTCAGAAAAGATTTTTGATTAAATCCTCAAATATTAAAAAGTAAATAAAAAAAGTTATTTCTGAGTCGAGTTTGTCTCTCATTACCGTTGTTAAACTGCTGGTTTATCCATCCGCGTTGACAGAAATAAACCTCTCCTGCTGAGAAGCTTCATCTGTCTCCTACCTGCAGGACTTGAGTCACGGTGAGACTTCGGAGACAAGCCAGATCCTCGCAGCCCGTCTTGTTCAGGAACACCAGGTTGTCGGATTCAGCCTGCGTCAGCGAGGCGTTGTAGACGTATGAGCCGCTCATGTCCACCGCCCTGTGGAAGAGGCCGGTGGCCAGCGGTGACATCATCAGGGTCCAGACGGATGTCCCGCCTTCAGATAGAAAACATCTGAATGGTGTGAGGGTTCACCAGGAAATAAACAATCACCTTTCTGAAACTAAACTCAGCGCTTATATTAGAAAATTATTATAAAACCAGTTCTGACCAGTGGTTTAAAATGTTAAACAGACAACATGCTCTAAGTGGTGAACTCTTCACTGGCTGGATACAGGACCGATCCAGATTCTAGTAAAAAAGCAGTTCATGAAGACAAACCTTCCACTTTTAAACACATCTCAGAAATAAAAGTTAAACTACTTAAACTACTTAATGACCAAACAGCTGACCCTAGGTGTCTGCACGGTGGTGGAAGGATGATGTCTGGGCTGGTTCTGACCCACAAACAGAAACTCCTCTGGTCACCTAAAGACTTCTAGAGCTAAATACAACACTGAGTTAATTCTTTTGCTTTTGTTATTCTTGCAGTTGTATTTCTGTATTTTATCCTTGTTGATTTCCTTGCTTTATTTATCTTTAGAGTTAGATGAGCTGATAGTCAGCTAGAATCAGAATTTGCCCAAATCGGTATCGGCCCAGAAAACCAGATCAGTGCATCTCCAGTTCTGAGATTCTCTAGAAACCTTTCCGCTTCAGACATGAAGACAAAGGTGACTACATCTTTAATGCGTGAGAGTATAGTTAAAGCAACACTCAGGCCTAGTCCACACATAGCCGGGTTTTTAAAAAAACGAATATCCGCCCCTCCAAAAACTTGCAGCCACACCACCGCGTTTTAAAAAATAACTGTCCACACGTACCCGGATAAATACGTTGTTAAGGACATGCCAGACCTGTAGGCGGCAGTACTTCCCCCGTTCTTAACCTCGTCCTTCGTCTGTGGTCTTCCGCAAGGAGCAGTAAGTCCGCTTGCAAAAACAAACAAGCAAAACGCGCTTGGACAATTGATAAAGCGAGCGCAGCTCTGAGGGCATCCATGCTGTCGGCTAGTGTAAACACAGGTCGCACACGTGATGTCAGCATTTTTTTGTCGCGGAAAGTGACGTTGCAGACCTTAAAACTCCGGTTTTGTCCGTCCACACGCAGACACCCAAAACGGAGAAAACGCAGATCTTCACCTTGGCCGGAGTTTTTAAAAAGATCCGTTTTCGTGTGAAAAAAACTCAGTTTTCGTGTGGATGACAGGCCAAAACGTAGAAAAATATCTACGTTTTGGCAGATCCCCGGCTACGTGTGGACAGGGCCTAAGGAGTTTACACTTTAGGCTGTCATGACTCCCAGGCTGCCACCCTCCTCTGCCTCAGCTGCCTCCTCAATCGAGCCCTCAGCCGCTACATTACCATCACCTGCACCCTGTCATCAGCTCATGCCACACACCTGCCTCCTCTGCTATACAACACCCAGCCTGCTCTCCAACCAGTGCCAGATTACTGAACGCCACAGCTAGTAAATTCTCCAGCCTTCCATATTGTCCGTCTCCCGGATTCTCACCTCGCCCCTGCTTTGGACCCCTGCCTCATTCTCTACCACGCTATTGGAGCTCTCGCCGTCATCTCAGGTTCTGACCCACGCTTCCGCCTCACTACTACCCAGCCATTTCTCTCTGCAGTGTTGGTGACAAACTCCTGAATTGTTTTAATAAACATTTTAAACGTCTTACTGTGTTCAGTGTCCTCACGGGTCCTGCATCCAAGCTCAGGTCATTACATAGGCTACTGCTTTTGACAGCTTCACATTCTCTGCTGCCTTAACAGCTAGCTTTTGAGTTTCACAATAAAGTTTATTCTATAACACAAGCCTAGAGTTCTGCTGTGTGGTGGAGTTGCTAATGCTAACAGTTAGCTTCTACGAGTCAACATGTTCTCTGCAGTTTCCTCCCATCGTGAGTCCAGATGGGTGATTCATGATCGTTAGCGACAGTGTGACGTAGATCTGTCAGGATTTTCTATCCTAGAGTTTCACCGTCTGTTTATCAGAAACTGATGCAGCAGATAGGCGTAGGAGACTATTTTCATGGTCAGCCTGCATGAAAAGCTCAGAATGACTCATCAGAATCAGAAATAATCATTACATTTTTTCAGTGTTCCACACCTTTAACTCTTTAGAATCAGAATCGGTTTACTCGATTTTCTTCATCATGCAAACTGTTTACAAACCAACCCACATCATCCCGTTTCCACCTTACACATTGATTAAAGGTTCATTTGACCAACATGGAGTTCTGAGGTCACTGCTGCTTTATTGGGATTTTTGTGGGTTTATTTACAGAATGACCAAGTGACACATTTTAGTACCTGAGCTCTGTCCAACTATGGTGACTCTTCCAGGATCTCCTCCAAACACATGGATGTTCCTCTGGACCCACTTCAGAGCTGCAATCTGGTCCAGGAAACCGTAGTTCCCTGTGTAGGTCACAAAGGGATCGATTACTTTGGAAACCTGTTTAGATATGACCTTGTTTCAGCGCCCCATTTCCTCCGTTGGGAACGGAGCCGACTCGCGGCGTGAACCAAATGCAACTCATCTGCAGCCGAGGGAGAGCAGAACTGGGGCGTGGAGTCAGGAGGAATCGGAATTAGAAACAGGAGCTGGTGGAGGGAGCGGAGGACTGGAGTGGCGTTCCATCACACCAGGAGATGCCGGCTCTCTCATTTAACGGATCATTTCACATTAAGATCACAGTGTGCTTGTTTGGATTATGTAACAGAAATTACCCAGCTTGACTCACAACACGCAAACATTCACAGGGAAACGAGCTTCATTTATCCGGATCGCATTAACCTTCATTAAGTATTCAGATGTTAATGGAGGTGTATGGACTCCATTTGGACCCAGAAAACAATGTAAACAAAGTAAATATTTTAAAAGTCTCCTTAGGAGGTAAATAGCTTGTGATAAAAAGGCCACCGTACCGTTCTAACTCCTTTATCTCTGCAGAGCTGCTGCAGTCTAATGACGGCTGTAAACCCACTAATATATCATTTTAACAGAGCTAAAAAGGCGTTTTTTAATTAATTTTCCTTCACTTTACTGGACGAAGCTGCAGGTTTACAGAGACTGGGATTTCGCTTCAGACAAGCTTCACACAGTCAAAAAGGTCCTAAAACATCTGGTTTTTATTAAAGTCGACAGGCGCTCCACGACGGGGAGATAAAACAACAAAGAAGAAAAAAACGTTTAGCCTTGAAAACAAACTTCTGCTTGTTCCTCTTCAGTGGCTTCAGAATCCATCGAGGAACAAAGTGATCAAAAGCCAAGTTGACTCCGAACGAGTTCATCTAAAACATAAACTCTGTTCCTGGTCCAGAATTTAAAACCTGGCTGCAAAAGACCTAATTCTTAAGATGATGAAATGTGGACCTAACAAATAAATAAATAAATAAATAAAACTTCTAGTGACACTTCTGTTACGTTTCCCACATATTAAAGCATCTTTCCATGAAAACCTGAAGTTTCTATTTTTGCATTTGAATTTGAATAAATGCCAGTTAACAATGAGCGCCTTGTGTCCGTGACTCAACTTGGAGGGAGTTACAATAGGCCATCTGAAACTCAAAAGTCTGAATGTTTTTTTTCCTCTTAGGACAGGGGTCGGCAACCTTTTCCCATTAAAGAGCCATTATTACCCGTTTCCCACAGTAAAGACCGCACTGGGACCCGCAGCAGCCACGGCGTTGTGGGCGGGGCCTACCCACTTGCACTTGGGCAAGTGGGTAGGCCTGACAGCTGCTTTAACCAATCACAACAGGTGGCAGCAACCAATACCGTTGGCTCATTTACCTCAAAGTTATCTTTCAACAGAAGATAATTAATAAAACAATTAGTATAAAATTGATCCAGAAGTTGTAGCCTGTCTACAATAATTTGATATTTATTACCCTGTTAGTGGTTTTACTGAGCAGGTGTTGCTTTTTGACGCATCACGTCTCCTTTTAAAACACGTTTAAACTGTTCAGTTATCTCTGTAGTTATGCTGCTATAGGCTTAGACTGCTGGAGGATACACTGACCACTTTCCACACTCGACTACGTTCTGCTCTTTAACTGTATTATTTCCTGCTATTTCAGCTGTAAACTTTATTTTCTCTCTAAGTGTTTTTCTCCCCAGAAGAAGCTAGAATGATGTTCTGCTGAGCTGTGGTGGCCTCATGGAGGGGGCCATCAGCTAGCACGCTGCTGCTAACCACTTAAACATTCTCCCTCTCCTGATAATAAGATTTTGCCTTCCTTGACATTGCATGTGCTACTACTAGTTTACCCGTTTAATTATAGATTCACTAGGATAAATACAATAAAGTTTATCTCTCACCAAATAGAATATTTACTAAGAAATCACGGTGTAACCATATACACATTGCTCTGTGTGTGTGTGTGTGTGTGTGTGTGTGTGTGTGTGTGTGTGTGTGCGCGTGTCTGCTCTGTCTTCTCCATCCCCAGTGAGTCGTGGTGGATGGCTGCTTACACAGATAATCTTTACATTTAGAGTTGGCATACAGATAAAAATTAATGCAGTAAAATAAAATGCTTTGTATTTAAATATCCATTCATTATTTTACAAGCACAGAGAGCTGCATCAGATGGATGGAAGAGCTGCAAGCGGCTCCAGAGCCGCGGGTTGCCGACCCCTGTCTTAGGACATGAAACAGCAATACAGAAAGTTATTTTACTCCCCAAACATAAATGTAAAGTTACTTAAAATACTTAAAAATCATTTTTGGTTATTTATAGGTGTTTGAGATCAATCAGAACAGTGGCGGCGCTAGGGGGCGCTATAGCTACCCCTGGATTAGTCATTGCACCCCCAAGTAAATATTAGATTATTTTTTTACAATTTAATTGTAATTTAACATGTGGATGTGATAATATTCAACATACAAAACAAAAATAATCAGTAAATTATCATTTAGATAGTAAAACTTAAACCAAAACAGGAAATTGATGTTAACCTTTGACCTCATTTTCCACCTGTGAACGAGTGAAAGGTAGAGCTAGTGGTAAAATGGATCGTTTTTGTTGCCCAAATTTCCACGGGTTCAGTCAGAAACGAATGAATCTTTGGAAGTGATCTCAGACCCACAAAAACCTACGGATCTGGATGAAGAGAGTCAACCCTCAACCACCGCAGCAGTCGAGGGTTTTGCTGCTGGAAATGCTAACGCTAACGTTAGCTAACCTTGCAACACTATTTTTTTATTTTATTTTTTTTTAACCGTGTCCTGTCTGGCTGTGAAGCAAACAGAATTGATGTCTGAATGCTGGTAACAAGCCTTACAGATTTACTCTCAGGTGGAGCATCAAAGCGTCTGCTTTTAATGTCACGCCTGATACTTAAAACTTTATTGTTATTGTTTTTGAATGCTTTGTAATTCCGACCAGACACGGAGACAGAGGTGAAAGAGAAAGGAAAAGACAAAAGGTGGGAAGAGAGGGGGGGAGGGGGTGGGGGGTCCACAAAAATAAACAATAATGAAAAAGAGTCTGCTTCTAGACCTGCAGAAAGAGCAGAAAAAAATGGGACACACAACAATACATCAGGAGCAAGCTATCACTGCATCAACCTGATGATGAAATATAAAATCAACATTGTTTAACTGAACCATCACACAATTTTAAGGTTCTTTTAATGGTTTTTAAGTGTCTTAATGGTCTTGGGCCTTCTTATCTTACAGAACTGCTTTTACTGTATAAACCCTCGCGGTCTCTGCGCTCCTCTGGCAGCCGTCTCCTAGTTATCCCTAAAGTTAAGACTCACACCCACGGCGAGGCGTCCTTCAAGTATTACGGCCCTCGCCTTTGGAACGGGCTGCCGGAGGACCTCAGGTCCGAAGGGAACATCCAGGCTTTTAAGAAAAGGCTCAAGACCCACCTTTTCAGCTTAGCTTTTAACTGATCACTATTTATCTATAAATACATATTTATCTCTATTATTATTTTTTATCATTTTATCTACATCTTAGTGTTTTTACATGATTATGTTTTCTTTTACTATCTTTATAATCACTTTTTATCAGTTACTTTTTATCATTATTAGCTTTTATTATTTTATATGTTATATAACTTAAATCCTCCAGTGTTTCCTCTGCGGAGCCCTCTGCCTTGGGGCCGGTGGTCAGGGGCGGCGGCGGCCGGGGCGCTCCTCGGGTAGTGCCCGGGCACTGGTGGGGGTTTCTGCCCTACGCCACTGGGCGTCATGGGCCGGTGTCTTGGCTGCTGCCGTGGATCTGTTGCTGCCAGGGCAGATGGCTCCGCTGATGATGTGTCGTTCATTACCTGACCCATCTGAACTCAGCCTATTGTTTACTCTGGTGTTCACGAGTGTGTGTGTGTGCGTGTGTGTGTGTGCATGGACGAGTGTGCGGGTGATTGTATGTCCACTTTTGGAAGTTGGGTGCGGGAGTGGAACTTTAATTTTTAATTGTTTTATACTTGGGGAGGGGGGCTGGGATGGGAATGTGGGATCTATGGGGCCATTTTAATCTGTAAAGCACTTTGAGTTGCATTTTTTGTATGAAAAGTGCTATATAAATAAAGTTGATTTGATTTGATTTGATAATAAATCCAACTGCATTTAGTGGCAACGACAGCCTTGAGACAAGTGTTGAACGTGCCCAAGCCCATACTTTTGAGAGCACCATGTGAGCACCTGTGTGTGCACACATGCTTGTATATGTAAGGTTTCTCTATAGGAGCGTCCAATAGAGAGTGTGACTGACCACAGATCCACCCCCAAAGATGTGTAGGAGACGGGGGGAGCTCCAAGTCCCAGAGATCCAGGCGCTGCCCCAGAACACAGGAACCCCAAGGAGACTGCAACCAGAAAGGCCCCCGCCCCCCTCGAGAGGCTCAGAGGATCGCCCCGGGGGGCCACAACCAGCAGCCGGCAGAGTCCCGGGAGATATCAGCGGCAAGCCCACAGGCCCGCCCGCAGCCTCCCACTCCCTAGCCGGCCGAACCCGGGACCCAGCGACCCGGGACCCAGCGACCCGGGACCCAGGGGTGACCACCCCCGCCGGTGATCCAGCAGAGCCCAGGGACCCAGACCCCACCAGGCAGCCACCGGGATTGATCAGGCAGACGCCAAAAATCTTAAACCCCCTGACCCGGGAGCCACGAACACTCAGGCAGACCAAGGCACCACACCCCACACCAGGTGTGGCAGGGGGAGGGGAGACGAAGATCTATATCATCAAAAGAAGTCCCAGGAGAGGGGAGCAGTCAAAGGCCCCACCTGACATATACAGTCATACACAAACACAGTCACACACTCCCTCCCTCATGCTCACACATGCACATACAACCAAAGACTTACAAAAATGCACGCCGGACACCCACTCATGCTCCCCATACACACCCTATTAACTCTGGTCCCGGTACTGCTGCACATTGGGTGCAACCATCACCGGTTCCCAGAGTTTGACCCTTTCTGCTGGGGTGCTGATGAGCAGGCTCCCCCGCCCAACGCTGAGCACAGCAACCCATCACCCCAGACCCCAACCGGATGGCCGGATCTCCCTCCTAGCCTCCAGCCCCAGGAAGCCAAGCAACAACAGAGGTGTGCTAAGACCCCTAGTCTCCCTCCGCCTGCTCCAATATAGTGCTGTGTGTTGATGAGGTGTATTCCATGGCTGTGGTGAGCGGGCAGTGCAGGCATTGTCTGGCCTATGCCAGCGGATGCCACCGCACCACCCCACTTGCACCCACAGCCCTCGGTGTCTAAGTGCAGTTTAAAATTGGAAGTGGGCACCGGCACTCGGGAGGAAGCTGAGAAACCCCCCTGCCAAGTGCCGTTGAATGTGCTCACTCCCAAGGCTCTAAGTGTGTGTTTGCGTGGAATGTCGTTGGTGGAAGTGTATAAGGTGCAAATAAAATTGGGGGGCGGGTTGCCACAGGAATGCGGGAATGGGGTCCATACCCGCACTCCCTGACTTGTCCACCCCCCAAGGTCCTATGTGTATGTTTGTGTGATGATGGAGGGAGCAGGAGAAGAGAAATATGCGGGGATGGGGAGGAATGGCTGTTTGGGCTTAGCCCTCCAGGAAGCCAGCTCCCCCACTGGTCCCAATAGGCACCTCCGTTGTCAACTTGCCACTCAGGGCATGGAGACCCCAGCCCATCCTGCCAGGGCCCAAAGCAGCAGCATTACAGAGCCTCACGGAGTCCGAGGGCACCAACCCAGCAGAATATCTATGCCCATCCCTGCATTTGCACAACTTCCAGAATATATAAGACATAGGACATCCAGGTAAGGTTGGGTCCTCCCCCTCCTGGACCTCCCCCTCCCCTGTGATGGAACAGCAGAGAAGTCAAGGTCTACCCGAGGCCCCTGAACCCGGGCCAGGCACTGCTGCATGTTCCTGCCTTCTTCCCGGCAGCATACATGTCAGGACCTGACCCCCAAGGCCCCGCCCAGATCCCCACACGGGGCCGGCCACCCCCACACCCCGAGCCCCCAGGCCCCCACCCAGACCCGCCCAGGGGCAATGCAGCTGCCAGGCAGTGACCCATGGCCGCCGCCAAGACCTACAAGGGGCCCCACTCACAACAGCCAGCAGTCCACCCCCCCGAGGCAACCCAAGCACATTCGGGGGGGGGGGGGGGGGGGGCAACGGCCCCCCAGTCCCAGACACCCCCAGTGAACCCACCTCCAGGGAACATCCGGATACTCCAAACTCAGACCCTCCACCCCCCCACCCACATCATCCCGCAGGACAACATCAACGGTCCTCCATCATCGCTATGTGATGGAACCAATCAAAGGAGCCCAGAGAGATTGATTTGAAGTGGAAGCAGAGGCTAAATCAAGTGTTATATGATCCAACAAAAGATTTCTATACTGGTTAATGCAGAGACTTTCTCTATTTTTACAATTCAAGAGGATAGTTTTCTTAGCGATGCATATAGCAGTCAGAACCACGTGAACCAAAGATGTTTCAGTCGGGACATCGTCCAGGTTTCCCAGTAAACAAAGAGAGGGGGAAGTTGGGATATGACATTTCAGACATTTTGACAGATCTTCACATACTCTACCCCAAAATTCCTGGACAGGTGGACAGGACCACAGTGTGTGAATGTAATTGTCAGGAATGTTGTTTGTGCAGTGTGTACAGGTGTCAGACGACACAAACCCCATCTTGAACATCCGATGGCCTGTATAGTGTACTCTGTGTAGAATTTTGTACTGAATTAATTGTAAATTGGGGTGTCTGATCATTTTAAAAGTTTTTAAACAAGTTTGGGACCAGAAGTTCTGGTCAAAGCTGACTGATAGATCCACCTCCCATTTTTCAATAGGGATTACTATTCTATCGTCTATTTTGGACAGTGTCTTATATACTTTAGACAGTAGTTTGGGGGGTTTGAGATTATAAAAGTCTAATACCCTTGGTGGTGTTTGTAATTCTATTTTATTGAGCTTAAATTTTTGTTTGACTACAGATTTAATTTGGTGATATTCTAAAAAGCTATTCTTATCTATTCCAAATTGGGAGACTATTTGATTAAATGGGATGAAGTCCAATCCTTCATATTTGTGTTCCAGGCAGGGCTGGGCGATATGACGATTTTAGACCATTTTACGATCTACACATCTGACGGTCTGTCATTTTTGAGAGACCGTTTTATCACCATTCACAGCTCTGCTGTTGAAATTCTGCCTCTGAATGAAAAGGGAACTTACCTCAGGCAAATGACACGCCTTTGTTTGACCCTTAACCAATCAGAGTGAGTCATAGTAATATATTAGTGCCCCGCTTGTTTCCACTTGTGTGTGAACAAACATGGCTTCGGCCGCGGCTGAGCGACAACGAGGTTTTCGTTCCGAAGAGGAAAGCAGGGTTTCCTTAGCGCGCGGCGCTAACAACTTAGTGACGTGACATGTCTCGGAGAAAGCGTAAAAACACGTTGGACGCTTCTTCTGAAGCAGGAAAATAACACCGCTTCTTAAGCAGAGCACGACGTCGCCTCGGCTCGTCCACCCTCTGCCGAGCCGGTGTCGGTACCGACTGAGCTCGGTCACTGGGTTGTTGGAGCTGCTCCGTGACTGCCTGATGGAAAACCAGCGGGTTTCATCAGACTCGTAGTTTCTTGTTTTTGTTGGGGACCCCCTGTATTTTACCGCTCCCTCCTGCAGTCTTCCCCTATTACAATTTAAAATGATTCTGTAAATTCCGTTTATCAATAGAAACAATCTCTGCCTCTGCCAGCTGCAGTAAATGTAGTTTCCAAATAATAAGAGGTGCATTCATCTGTGTATCTCCTTTGATCCGCATTAGTGATATTTTCAGCACCAGAACAGTGAAGCAAAGAAAGAATCCTGAGTTTGTTAGTAATTTTATTTATTAGGTGCATCTAACCTGTTCTATTTTTCTCTGAAATGAGATCAAATCAGTGCTTCTATGGGTTGTCTCCAATCTGCACTGGAAAATTTTACTTTATTTAGAGACTTGTTGCAGAAAATATTCAGAATGCGCAGTTTTTTGCTACCACAAGCGATCTCTGGTCCAGCCGCACATCAGAGCCGTATTTGAGCTTAACTATCCACTACATGAGCAACTGGGAGCTACATAGTATTTTGAACAAGTTAATGTTTGCACAATACGTTTGCAATTGACATGTTTGCACTTTAAATATGTTTACGATTTTAATTTATGTTAAGTTACTTGAAAAACGAGAAAAACTGATTTTTGTGATTGTTTCTCTCAGGGCTTTTATCATCTCTGGTGTGAGTTTAAAATATAAGTGTGTTAGCACTGTGTTGATTATCCCTAATATGAATAAATGTTTATTTATTCAATGTTTCTCTTCTTTAATACGCAATTGAAGTTATGCTATTCATGGATAAAAAAATCGTGATAAAATCGAAATCGTGATAAAATATTGGAAAAATCGTGATATTCTATTTTTGCCATATCGCCCAGCCCTAGTTCCAGGTATAGGATTCCTTTATTTTTCCAGTCCGGAAGGTTCATCATTTGGTTATTTTGCAAAATGTCAGGATTATTCCAGATAGGTGTGCGTCTGCATGGTACTAGTGAAGACTCTGTCATTTTTAGATACTCCCACCATGCTGTCAGAGAGGTGCTGATACTAATACTTTTGAAGCTTTCATGTTTTCTTATGCTTGAGCTAATAAATGGTAAGTCTGAAAGCTCAATCATATTGCAAAGTGTCTGTTCTATATCTAACCAGGACTCATCTAGTGGGTTATCTTGCAACCATCTTGGTATATATTGCAGCCTGTTGGCTAAGAAATAATAATAAAAGTTGGGTAAATCCAGTCCTCCTCTGTCTTTGGTCTTCTGAAGCGATTTTAAGCTAATTCGTGGAGGTTTATCCTGCTAAAGGAATTTAGTAATTAAGGAGTCCAGAGATTTAAACCAGTCAGCTGGTGGTTTGTTTGGGATAATCGAGAATAAGTAATTTATTCTGGGTAAGACCATCATTTTAATTGTAGAAACCCTCCCCATGAGTGATATCAGTAAGGATTTCCATCTTGCAAGATCATCTTCCACTTTCTTTAAAAGTGGGATGTAGTTTAGTTTGGTTAGATCTGCCAGCTTGGGAGAGACTATAGATGGTTTTCTGTGTGGCTGTATGTGTTTATGATTTCATGGAAAAGTCAGTGATTGTTCATATGTTTATGATGTATATTAATGATTGTTTCAGGTGTTGTTGAGGTGTTGTGCACGCATGTGTATCTGCTAGTGTTGAAGGTGTTTTAGAGAACAATAGGTACGTATGACCACTTCCTTCATAGCACCCTCAATAAAAGGACTAGCTCCTTCATAACACCTGCAGAAAAACATTTCTGGAGCCGCCACTGAATCACAATCACCCAAAATTGATTAATCATCAAGAGCTGTACTAGAATCTACAATCATATCGGCCAAAAAACAAATAAACTGAGTTTCATAACAGGATTTAATCATCTTTAGTGTGTAATAAACTTTCTAGCAGAAATAAGGGAGAATTGTGAGACGAGCATTAACGCTAACGAGGTTTTGGTTATAAAAAGAAACATCCGACTGACCTGAAGTGTTTCTTGGAGATCCTTCTCTGAGCATCTCCAGAGCCATGAATCCAAACGCGTTGAGTCTGTAGTTGAAGCTAACGTAAACCATCCACGTGTCTGCAGCGAGCTTTTCCGTGGGTGAGTATCCGGGCTCTCCTCCACTCAGCATCTGCAGGTATCCACCGTGGATCCAGACCATAACGGGCAGCTTGGCTCCAGGCTGCAGCGTGGGCGTCCACACGTTGATGAAGAGGCAGTCCTCGTGGCCCAACACCTTCCCGTCGCTCGCCATCGGCTGCACCTGAGGGCAGATGCTGCCAAAGTGGTTGGCGTTCATCACCTTGGACCTGCAGACCGGATCGGCCGGAGGAGCCCAGCGTAGCTTCCCAACAGGTGGAGCAGCGTAGGGAATGCCTTTAAAGGAGAAGGCGCCATTTTTCTACAAAATCATCAGAATAAAGTCACATCGTTTGATTATTCCATCATAATTACTAAATTTACAAACACAAGGTAAAAGGAAAGTCCTCTCAACAAACCAGTCGTCATTTTCCTCTTCACTTCCTGTTCTATTCACTTTACTGATACATAAACATTAAAAACACTGAATAAAGTCAGATATTTTTGTTGAGCATATATGTGGTTTTATTCCCTGCACATTTATATACATATACATATATATACATATATATTTATATATATACATATATATATATATACATATATTCATACAAAAACATATATACATATATACACACACACATACATACATACATATATATATATATATATATATATATATACATATACATATATATATATATATATATATATATATATATATATGTATATATATATATATATACACACATATACATATATATATATATATATATATATATATATATATTACACATATATATACATACATATACACATATATTCATACAAATACATATATATACACACACACACATATACATATATACACACACATATGTGTATATATGTGTGTGTATATATATATATATATATATACACACACACACACACACACACACACACACATACATATATATGTGTGTATAGTCTCAAAGACACACACACACATATACATATATACACACACATATGTGTATATATATGTGTGTGTGTATATATATATATATATATATATATATACACACACACACACATACATATATATGTGTGTATAGTCTCAAAGACACACACACACACACACACACACACACACACACACACACACACACACACACACACACACACACACACACACACACACACACACACCTCAGAACAGTTTAATAAAGCTGTTGTCGGAGAAAACTGAGCTAATCTAACAGGTTCACTCCTGGAAACTCATTTCTTTTTCCTTTCAACATGTTTCACCAAACAAGTTCAAATTATGTTCAGGTGGGTTTAATAATAAAATAAATCAAATAAACACAAGCTGAATCTTCTTTATAGGTACTAAATACGCCTTTAGTTCCATGTTCACTTTTACACAATATCCTGTTTTCTGATTAGGGAAATGAAACAAAGGACCCGTTTAGGAAAAAGGAGACTTCTGTTTATTCTTCATAGTTCAGGTCAAAAAGGACATTTTGATTATCGAAGATCATCTTTGGGCTTTTGCCTTCAGGGGTCGTCACAGACAGTCAGCTGTCCTCTACCCTCACACCTAACTTCATGTTCCGCCACCGGCCAACACAAGTCCAGTTTAACCAGGTCCCAATCACTCTGGTATGAAACCCTCATTTGCTGTTTAGATGCTTGATGTGGCTTCAGTTTTCCGTCGGACGCTCTCTATCATAACGTCGCGTTTATTCAGATTTGGGACCGGCGCTGGTTTGTGACCTCTTACGATTGCATTTAACAGAAGAACATATATGTTTCTTTTATACAATTAAGTTAAAAGGTTGCTGTTTGTTTTAGTGAAATCACCCAAAAACCTGCAGAAGAAGAAATGAGACGACCAAACTCACGTGTTGCCCTTTGAAGTCTCCGCAGGCCGTGGACACCTGGGCGCGTCCCGGTGGAGGCGTCTGGGCCATGTAGCCCAGGTAGGCGGCGAGCGCCAGCAGGGAGAGAACGCCGAGGCAGATGAGGAAGATGCAGTGTTTGGACAGGACCAGGAAGGGACTGACATAGTGCCGGTGTCGGACATACTGCACCCCCACCTCGTCCTCCTCCTGTACCAAGTATTGGTACTCGGTCCTTGCTGGGAACTCGTAAGCATCCTCATTCATCTTCCCTCTGGGGGGGGGGAATAAAAAAATAAAACTGAGCTGACATCAACACAAGTTCTAAATCACAGGACAGAGAGATAACAAACATTCTTTTAAAGGCACTGTGAGTTGTTGGATTTTACATTTTTCATGTTTCAGTCATCAGAATAAAAAGATTTCTCCAAAATAAAAACAGAAACAGCACCATGGAGCTGTTCCTTAGAGCTGAGATTTATGTTTAATCCTTCAAAATAAGAGTCTCAAACACACACATGTGACTCAGAAAATCTGAAATTTATGAATAAGTTTATTAATCCTGTTCCGAGTTTAATCAAACAACAATAATTAAACAGATTCTCAGGGTTTTGTGTCTTAGAGCCAATTCAAGACATGAAGTCTGACGAAGAACAAATATCAGAAGCCATCAGCTGGCCACACACTCATCGATAAATAACCAGGACAGCCAGAGTGTCTTTAGAGGTAGGTAGGTGTGTGTGCGTGTGCGTGTGCGTGTGTGTGTGTGTGTGTGTGTGTGTGTGTGTGAGGTCGGCTCAGGTCAGGCCACGCCATTAGCCCATATGCTCCTTCTACACAGAAATATTTGGTTTGACAAGCTGAGTGGGAACGCCGTCATGCCCGAGACTGAATGTGGGATGCAGCAGTTCCAGGTTCCAGTCGGAGAAAAATCCAAACCAGCGGTTTTCATTCAGGTTGTTTAAACGTCTCAGAAACAGAAATTAAAACAAGAATGACCATAACGGCAAATTAGAAGCACAAAAACTAGATTCACAGTTCTGACTTTCACAGCAGAAAAATCCAGCAATAAAAAAGGAACTTTAGCTTTTTCTAGCGCGGGAGTCCGCTCCCTTCCCTGAGGGCTGGTATCCAGCATGTTTTACTTGTTTCCCTGCTTCAACACACCTGATTATAGGTGATTGACAGGCTTCAGCAGAGCTTGATGAGCTACTGAACAGGTGAATCAACTGTGTTGAAGCAGGATAACAACTAAAACATGCTGCATACCAGCCCTCAGGGAAGCGAGTTGACTACCCCTGCTCTAGGGTTTTACACCCACAAATAAATAAATCCAGCTTCTATGTTTGCTTCTCGGTAAAGAGACACATTATTTACAACTAAATCAGAGAAGTCACAGAGCCAGGGAGGCGTCACTGGCTCAGAACCATCCAGAACTACCAGCAGAAAGCCAAGAAAACACCCTTCTAATCCGGGTAGCTTACAGATTTACCTGTTCTGTGATTAGGCTCCATTTATACCCGTGTGTTTTCTGTGTAAACAGATCAGCTGAGCCCTTTTCTCTCATCTCAGGACACTCACCATACACAACACTCTCTGTTTGAGTCTTGCAGCTGATTTAAAGAGCAAGTCACCCCCTACTAGGGGTTGTATGAACTAGTCGACTAGTCGACTTCACTGCTCTGTAGTGACTTTTTATGCCTGTCATCAACTAGTCGCTGTCACGTGATAATGACCGACAAAATGCAGTCCTCGGAAAAGACAGCAGGAGACGAGCCCCAGTACGTCGGGAGGCGACACGCTGTGCCAGAGCATTGGTATCTGACACCCGCCGTAAAACGGACATTTGACCGAATTGTGACCTTTACCCTCTTGCAATTTAACATTCCCCTCACCCCCATCCTAACCTTAACCAGCTTGCGCATGCAAAGCTCTGATCGTTGATGCGCTCCAGACATCTGCGTCCTGAGCACAGCCACAGTAACATTATGAAATTAGGTGTCGCCACCTCAAAAACTAATTTAACACGCGATCGTTCATGTCGGCTCATTTTCTTTTATGTTTTCTGTCTTTTATTCTTTTATTTGTGCCTGATGCGTTTCGCTGTGGAGTGGAGCGAGGCGCATCACCTGTTTTGTCCTCCGGTGACGCACCTCACTGATGCGGCCGGCGCACACTCACCTGTTTTAGCAGTCGGTAGATCTTTTAGAACTGCAGTTCAAAGGTATACTCATGAGGTGAATATATATGAACCCAGGTAGCAGTTTCTCTTTAGGATTGAGAGGAGATGCAGGAAGATAATAAACAGACAGGACAGAAAAATAGTCAAATAAAAACAAGTAAGTTTTTGTACCTGGTGGTTGCAACAAACAGACACCATTGAAGGTAATCAGAAGTGAGGAACAGAAAATGAAATAATTATTTTAATGTTTAGAGCAGCAGGAACTCTGAGAGGCTGCAGGCGCATCAGTGAGTTTGCGGCCGCTGCGCAGGGGGAGGGGGGAGAGGGCTGAAGCGGAGCAGTAAAGATGCAGAAACTACAGTTGTTAAAGAGACGTGTTTGACTTTGAAAATGTGGACGCAATTTTAATTGTCAAAAACTCCAGCGAACCCCCCCCCCCTTTCAGGTGTATGACGTCATCAACAACTAGTCAAAGGCGACTCGAGTTTCAGTACTTGACTGTCGACTTTACAAAAGAATTAAGTCATGCAGCCCCTACCCCCTACAAGAGTATTACTCCACTCCCACTTCCTGTTTGAAAGAAGCAAAACATGCTGCTGCCTGGCAGACCGAAAGGGTGGAGCCGCTAAGGTCAAGGTCAAGGTCACATTTATTTCTAAAGCACACTTATTATTGCTTCCGCAACCCAAAGTGCTGTACAACACAGAAAATCGCAAACAAGTATAACTAAAAACCATAAACCCATAAAAATCAGCAAGTTAGGATAAAAACAACATTACATCACACAATTATAAAATCAATAAAAAGAGAAAGAATGACAATGACAAAATAAAATCATCCTACATAAAAGCCAGGTTGAATAAATGAGTTTTAAGCAAGGACTTAAAAACATCCAGACTTTGTGAGGTCCTGATCTGCAGAGGAAGACTGTTCCAGAGTGTAGGACCGGCCACTGAAAAAGCCCCATCTCCTCTCGTCTTTAGAGAGGAACTGATAATAAAAACTGTGAGACCGACTGCAAATTCCTGGCAGGATTGTAGGGTGACAATAAATCATTTATATAAGGAGGGGCCAGACCATAAAGTGATTTATAAACAAAAAGCAACAATTTAAACTGAATCCTGTAATGCCCTGGCAGCCAGCGAAGGGAAGCAAGCACTGGAGAGATGTGATCATGCTTCCTTGTACCTGTTAAAAGGCGGGCTGCTGCATTTTGAACCAGTTGCAAGCGGTTTAAGGATGAATGCCCTAATCCACAGTACAGGGAATTGCAGTAATCTAGTCGACAGGAGACAAAGAGAAGAATAACATGTTCAAAGACAGTTTCCGGCAAATGGCACTTAACCTTTGCAAGTTGCCTCAAGTGATAAAAACCGGACTGGACCACTGCACTTATCTGTCTGTCCAATTTAAACGAATCATCCATAAAAAAACCCAGGTTTTTCACATAAGGCTTTACAAAATCCGAAAGGGAACCAAGTGGGCTCACCACACCCATCAACAGGTCTCCACTGCCAAAAATCAAAATCTCCGTCTTCAGGTCATTCAATTTCATAAAATTGCCACCCATTGCTTCAAATCAGCTAAGCAGGCCATTAAAGAAACAGCTGAATCCGGGATGAGTGGGAGATATATCTGAAGGTCATCAGCAAAGCAATGAAAAGTAATGTTGTGTCTGGCGAAGATAGAGGACAATGGTAAAATATACAGTGAGAAAAGTGTTGGCCCTAAAATGGAACCTTGTGGAACACCACAAGTCACAGGTGCTGGTGGTGATGTAAAAGTTCCCAAGTTCATAGAAAAAGATCTGTCCTGTGGATAAGACTGAAACCAATCAAGCACTGTGCCCCTTATACCAACACAAGACTCTAATCGAGACTACAGAATATCATGATCAACGGTGTCAAAAGCAGCAGATAAGTCTAGCAGCATTAAAGCAGCTGATTTGCCAGAATCAGTGATTAATAAGTCATTTACCACTCGTAGAACTGCACTTTCAGTGCTGTGCCGTGCTTTAAACCCGACGGAAATTTGTCTGAAATATGATGTATAGACAAATAATCCTGTAGTTGTGCATGAACAACTTTCTCCAGAACTTTTGATAAGAAACTACGTTTGGAAATAGGTCTGTAATTAGATAGACAAGTTGCATCCAGGCTTGGCTTCTTTAAAAGGGGATTCACTATAGCCTGTTTAAAACACAGCGGAGCACACCCTGAGAGAAGGGAACAGTTAGTCTGTGCACAGCTGAAGCAACACTGTCGAAGGCCTGCTTAAACATACGAGGTGGAATAACATCAAGTGGACAGACTGAAGGTTTTAAACGATGGACAATATCTGATAACTCCTCCAAGGAGACAGGTTGAAACTGACACCAAGATGATAAACAATCTGGATCAGAACTTGGATCTACGATAGAGGATGTTAAAATGGATGATCTAATCTGTGAAATCTTTTCGACAAAAAAGGACAAAAAGTGGTCACATAATTTTTGAGAAGGTATACAAGTACTTCCAATGCTGGGGTTCACAATAGCACTAAATAAAACCTGCGCTCTGTGACTATTGGTGGAAACAAGGTTGCACGTGAACTCAGATTTTGCCTGTTTCACACAGTTCTGATAAACAGTCAGGCAGTCTCGCAGTGCAAGTAGAGACACGTATAGCTTGTCTTTCCTCCACTTCCTTTCAGCACGCCTGCACTCCCGTCTACAGGCACGTGTGGTTTCATTCAGCCATGGCTCCAGATTTTTTTTTATTATACCGCACAGCTTTCAAGGGAGCCACATTATCAAGGATGTTTAAGCAAGTAGAATTTAAAAAATCCGCTAAGTCGTTGACAGAAGTTGAGTCCATAAAATCAACAGCGGAGAATTCAGCAGAAAAATCAGAGACAGTCACGTCATTAAAAAATCTTCTCTGTCCTTGCATTGCAGTTCTCTCCACTGAGCCGTGTAATTCCAATGAAAAATGGACTGGAAAATGGTCAGAAATACCCTGATCGAGAATGTTTGTAATGTTTATATCTAAACCATGCGACAAAACTAATTCCAGCGTATGACCTTTTTCATGAGTTGGACCAGTAACCCACTG